CACAATACCTCACTATTTCTTGAGATGAGGTCTCACTAATTTTGCCCACATTTGCTTCAATTCCTCCACCTTCTTACGTAGCAGGTGTTAGAGGTCTGAGTCACTGCACCAGACTTCCACACTTGTTTAGGTCCTGCATATGTCTCCTTTTTTTCAGAGAGATCACAGGTATAAAGGAACTACACAATTTAACATTCTAAAATGAAGGCTCTAGCTTTTAGCCCATGTTTCTATAGCAAAAATTAGTATGAGAAATGTTCATGATTTCCAAGCATGCCTCTGATCTAAAAATCTTTCATGTTTGCGCCATGTCTAGTGGTCACAGAGGAGAGATCATATTCATGTACGTGCTCCACATGGTATGTGTTAACTTAAAGTTCAGAAATTTCCACATAGTGGCCTGGTATGGGTTTCTCAGTTAAGATCCAATGCATGTACCAAGAAAAGATGCTTGTGGCTCCTTTAGAGCATGCACACTAACTTTGGTGGAAATTAGGAAAGTGAGAAGCTCTAACCAGATCATTTGCCACCAGAACACTAGCAAAGATAGTAGAAAACCTATTAAACCACCAGTGAAGCCAAGCATGTTAGTATACACTTGTACTCTCCAAACTCAGGAATTTTAGAACAGCCTGGGTTATATGGTGAGACCCTGTCCAAGAAAAAAGCTGACATAAGACTCAAGCTCTATTGGAATTTGTCTCAGGAAAATATACCTTTGTAGTGTTAAATTAATAAATTTGCATCACTCCTCTACATATACATCCCTAAGAGATCTTATATTTACACTAAGACCAACTGCTTCAAAGTTTTGAATTATTGCTCCTTATAGATTAATATTTTAAGATAACAGATATGTTCAAACAGTTACTTTTCTATAGATTTTGTGATTTAGAGGAATATTATTTCACAAGCGATAGAATGGAAAGTACACAGTTTTTCCTTAAGCTCTCTTACCCCATGTTCATGGCTTTTCCTATTATTTACTTGTTTTACCAGGGATATACTTGTGATTACTGATAAACTCTCATGGAGATGTCATTGTCATTCACACTCCATGTGTGACATTAAGGTTCATTCTTTTTATTGTTTGCTCTTCAGATCTAGATAAATCTCTTTGAAAAGTGTTCATCATTACAGTATCTATCCTATAGAATAGTTTAACTGTCCTGATGTTCTGGAATTAAAAAATAGTGATGACTGGATATTTCTGCCAATATATTTAAAAGTGAATTTAATGTTTATAAATTGTGTCTTCGTGAAAACAATTATTTAAATTCAAAGTGATAAAACATACTCTTCTGAATGATAGCTGAGGGGTTTGAATACCTCAGTGGAGGATGGAACCCACTAATCAGTGTGAGTCAAGAGTGAAGTGGTAACAGTCTGTTAGACTGGAAGAGGAAAATGGCTTCTACAGGACCCCAGACCTAGTTACTGTGAATTTACACCAAGTGTTTGTCTCAGGGCCTCTGGAGATTATAAACGCCATAGACTTGTATTTGGCGATTGTCTTCCTTTCTCTTTAGAACTTCAGAAAGTAGAACTGCTCCCAGCCTCCAAAACCCATTTCAACATATGCAAGCCCAGATAAGGAATGAACAGCCCAGAACTTCAGAAAGTAAAGGGAGGTTCTCTAGATGAGCTGAACCCTAGGGCTTCAGTAAGAGGTCTCCTTCCTCTGTGTGGGAGCCAGACTAGGGAGAAACAGAGCAGGATATTAACCATCTGAGGCCAGTGAATTGCAGCCCGTGAGCCCCTCCCCTTATATCTGAGTTCTTTCCTTGCTTTAAATGCTGCAGGAGAACCACGGAAACAATCACAATATAAGAAAAATATATGGGCTTCACAGCAGAAGGGCTGTCTAGAATTCAAATCTTCTGATAGCCAAGATCTTCAGACCAAGTACATCATAACAATGACCTTTCAGGCCAAATGAAGGCCAGTGGGAAGGGTGTCTCAGTGTGAGCAAGGCACACCAGGCATCAGCCTATACAGACTGGCTTCCCATGTGTCTGCAGTGCCTTGAGCATCAGGAAAAGAGATGTCTATGGTCAAGATATGGCTAAAAGCAGAAAACACCAAACATTTTAGCAGACTTCAAAGGGGTGTATGAGGCCTAAACAATGGCTCTTTCTCCTTTCATCTTTGACTACTAGGCAATATGGTACCTGAATTCACCACAGGCTTGCATCTACTGTTCAGTCACATCAAAAGTTAAGATAATTTGATGCACCTTACAGTTGACTGTGAGTATAACACGGTATAACACTTTTCCTGATGTATTCACGAATAGATGGGTCTTCTGAAAGATGACCTTTCTGCTCAGAAATCCTCCTTCCCCCTCCCCCCGACTTGTGCCTGTGTAACTCCTAGTCACTGTTCAATCACCAACAGGTATCCCACCTCTGGATGAGAGAACCCAGTTATCTCTTGCATCAGTCTCACCTCTTCTTCCAACATATGTGCTTCTGTCCCTGTTCTTCCCATGCCTTATTAGAATCCTGTGTGTTTTGGTTCTCAAGCTCTGATTGGTGCTCCTAAGTTCAGAAACTTACTCTTTCGAATATCTGGTCTATATCACAAATATTGAAGCCACTATCTCATAAACTTTGCTCAAAAATACATGACTAATGATGCTAAAACAGTAAGTGGATATGACTGGTGAGAGAAATTACTTTGTCATGAAAGACACTGAAGTGAGAAGACATGCTCAGTCTGTAAGGTGACCGATATTTTGGAGACATTTACTAGGAGACAGCAATGGATGGACAGTTGAATGAATGACCAAATATTTTGGTGTATCATTTCTTTCCTCCCCAATGTAACTTTATTTTTCTCTTCTCAAACACATCCAATGAATGCATCATTTTCCAGTCTTGAAACCTGCAAGATTAGAAAGACAATTATGCTGCCTTCTGCATCAGTATGTCCTGGCTCTAGGAGATTGTAGTAATGGACAGGAAGCAGGTCCCTCCCAGTTCCCACCTCTTCATTTGAATAAATAAGAATAAGTTATTAGCATGAATTCTGCCCAATTAGTTTCCACCAATGAGCGACAAAGGAATTTAAAACATAGACAAACCCTTCTAAATGATCCTGTGCTCCCCATCTAACCATCATTCCTGGTCTTCTCTTCAAACTCCTAAGCAGGAGGCAGGGTCTCTTGCATTGACCTCTAAGAGATGAGCCTCTGAGCCTCTGGCCCAGAATGTCAGATGCCACCTACTGCCCAGGGCAAAGGCATGAAGAGGCCTTCAGGGTGCTAGACACCATTCCATTGCATCCCACAAGAGCTCCAGCTCCAGGTTTGTGTTTTCATTGCTAGCCTGGACCACAGTGTCCTCCACCTGGATTCCCCGAGGTCAACAGGGACTCTAAGTAGAGCCATTTGGGGAGTAGCCACTGTGTAGGACAGCTCATGTGGAGAGCATTTAGGCAGATGCAAAGACTTGAACTCTTGGGGTCATCTTGTAGAACAGCATGGTTCCAGAGGGCCAGGGACCCTGCAGCACCTCAGGATCCTCAGCCTAAGCCCTTCTGGGATGGCCACAGGGGACATACTTTGAGGCAGTCATCCCCGGTGGGCTGTGGCTGTTCACAGTTGACTGGCCCTGGGCCCAGCCAGGCTACCACCTCCTTAAAGAGCTGCCAAGACTTACACCTTTGGTTTCTTTTCTATCAAGAACAGACTTGAATGGAAACTACCTAGAATTTTCACTCAACCCTCCATCATTAAACCATGGCACACACACCAGTACCATTACCTTTGCTGCCAGAGTAGTTAATTAAAGCCCCCTTTAAAGCTGTCTTTCTATCTTTCTGGGAGAGACTGAATGAAGAATTTGGCATTCCACATTGGCTTCTAGTGGCAATGCATGCAGGGGATTCTGGAATAAATTCCATGGGTTAAATGCAGCAGGGACTAGGGAAACCTGGGACATGGTCCATAGCTCCCTGCTCTTGTAACAGTCACTGCCCTTCTCTGAAAATCAAGTCTATGTTGCATATTCTTGTATTCCATTGACAACTTTGGCCAAAGGGTGGAAAGGGGGGAGGTGAGGGTGTAGGGGGGAGATGGGAAAAGATGTAAAGGGGAAACAAAGGAGGAGGCAACAATGGTGGATAAGAAATGTACTCATTACCTTGCCCATGTAATTGTAACCCCTCTGTACAGTATTTTCACAATAAAAAAGAGAAAAAAAACAGTTTGCATAAATGTTATCATACACGTTGGTCTGGAAATAAACAAAGGTGTAGTTTTGAGTATCCTTGATACATTATTTTAATCAATTCAGCCCTCAATAGTCAAATGTGGACATTTTGCACATCTATCTATCTAAGGAAAAAAGAAGAGTATTAAGGACAATGTTTAAGTTTATAAACTTGTTTATAGTGATAGTTTTACAGATAGTTTCTTTAAACTTTGCAAGATGTAGGCAACACATATATCCATATTTTTGTTCATAGCACCATAAAAATTTAAATTTTTGGGCACCAGTGGCTCATGTTTATAATCATGCTTCAGATCTGAGGATGGAGATTAGAAGCCAACCTGGGCAAGAAAGTCTGTGAAACACTTATCTCAATCACTAAAAGCTATATGTTGAGCTGTAATTTAAGTGGAGAAGTGTTAGCATTGAGCAAAAACACTTAGGAACAGTATGCATAGCCTACTTCTAGCCCAAAGACTGGCATATAAAAAATAAATGAGAATGAAAAGAGAAAATAGAAAATTATTTTGACTAGAACAATATTGTGTTTTTAATTTACCTTAAGGGAAATATATTTTTATTTTTTTGTTATGAGTATTTTTTAATTTTTATTTATTTTTATTGTGAAAATACTGTACAGAGGGGTTACAATTACATGGGCAAGATAATGTGTACATTTCTTATCAAGCATTGTAGCCTCCTCCTTTGTTTCCCCTTCCCAGTCCTTCCCATCCTCCCCCCAAACCCCCATCCAATCCCCCTCTCACCAAAGCCTTAAGGGAAATATTCAATTACTCAAACCCTCCCTGCTATTGCTCTTAACTCCTACAGCATCTAGAATGTAGCAGAATTTCTCTGCTCTGGGGTCTGTGCTGCAGCTCAGGCCTTACTGGGGCCCCCATAGATTTGGGTTCAGTCTGCAGGTGTCAGGAGAGCACTGTGCACTCACTGCACAGAGGTAGGTGGCTGAGTCACTGGACTGGGAGTCTCTGATGTGCAGAGAAAGATAAAGGCTGCCTCTATTGAGATGTGCTGTGAATCTTCCCTCCTGTTTATCGCCATTAGAGTATGCAGACACCAGCAGTTCAGGGCCCTTCCCGGAATACTGTCTGTACCACCAGAAGTACTGAGAAGCACTGTCTCTGTAAGTGCAGTTGAGAGAAGCGGTAGCTCCTTCTGGAACACTGAGGGACTCATGATGCTGCTCCACCTCTTTCTGTTGACAGCTCACCCCTGTGCAGAAAGACGAAGGTCACACATAGTGGTTGGGTAGTGTAAGCTCCATTTGCAGATTGTAATTTATCTTTCTATGGGCCTCCACTCTTATCGAGTGATGAGTGCCTTCATGTTTTTCCTCATAGACCCGTGACAGACAACAACTCCCAAAACTGAACTTTATGTTCCCATAGAGATACTAACTCATGCCAGGTACCTGTGGCTCATGCCTGTAATCCTAGCTACTCAGGAAACTGAGATCTGAGTATCATAGTTCTAAGCCAGCCCAGGCAGGAAAGTTTTTAGATGCTTATCTATAATTAATCACAAAAGAGCAAGAAGTGGAGGTGTGGCTCAAATGGTAGAGTGCTAGCATTGAGCAAAAGGAGGTCAGGGATAACACTCAGGCTCAGTTCAAACCTCAGGACTGGAAAAGAAAGAACAGGGGAGGAATAAAGAAAGAAAGAAAGAAAAGGAAAGGAAAGGAAAGGAAAGGAAAGAAAGGAAAGGAAAGGAAAATAAGAAAAAAAAAAAAAAAAGACTAACTCACAGCTCATGTGAAGCCACCAGGTCACTGAAAAGATGCTAAAGGATCTCATTATTTTTTCCCCCTGATTCATGGATGACTCAGATAACAAAGCCTAAAAGAAAAATGAGACTCATTCAGGTATTTCCAGTTATTGGGCTCTCAAGAATCCCATCTACCAATCAGAAGAGAGGATCTTTACACAACCTTCTCCTCCCCTTTACTCACACTCAGAAGCTTTTGTGAGCTATCCTCCACGTCCCTGAGAAGACACTGCCATCTTGTGGCTTCTCACTTATATTCAAAGGGCAAAATTTTCTCCGGTGGACTTTTAAATTAAAAATCAGACATATAATTAAATTAAAATAGAGACTTTTCTCCAAATCAATCTGTTTGTCATTTTTCTGTGCATGTATTTCCTATCAGATGTCAGCTTTTTTCTGAGTTGGAGGAGTGACTTCCAAATACCACTTTCCTGCACTGAAAATCACTCATAACTCTTCTACTATAGAAATCTGGGTGAGGTTTATGAGATCAGGGACCATTTCACATTGCAGATCTCTTCTGCCAAGGCACCCCAACACATGCTCCTGCTTTCATTTTTTAATTCCTGGAATTTAAAATATCATTTTAAAACAGAATGTCTTAAAATTTGGCTTAGCTAACATAATTGCTTCTCACAGTTGGAGCAGCATTTATTTTAAATTTTATTTTACAAAGTTTAAATTAACTTTATAAAATAATGGTTTGTGATATTTTAATACATGTATTTTGGTATCATTATTGCTTTAATCCTTAACCATCCTCCTTCCCAACCCCTTTTCTTCCTACTAGCTCCCTTCGACTTCCATGTTTTTTTTTTCTCTCTAGAATGCATAAATGAGAGAAAACTGGTGACACATGTCTTTCTGAACTTGGATTATTTTATTAAACACACTGAATTCTAGTTCTACACTTTCTTCTTCAAATGGCTTCATTTCATTCTTCTTTATGCTTGAATGTTATGCAAATGCTATATTTTCCTTATATTATTTGTCCACTGCAAAACACTAAGGCTGATTGCACAACTTGGTCATTATGAGTTGTGTAATAATGAATGAGTGTTCAGATACATTTTTATCTGCTTACTTTCATTTGGCTGGCCATAAACCTAGAAAAACATAGTTCAACCATATGATATATCTCCTTTTAATGTTCAGAGGGATGTCAACACTGACTTACAAAGAAAGCTGGATTAATTTAAATTTTTACCAACAGCATATAAGGGTTCCTTTGCCTCTAAATCCTTACAAGCATCTGTCGCATATTTTCATATCCATTCTAACTAGAGTGTGATTGAATCTCAATGTAGTTTTGACTTGGAAACATTTTAACAAATAAGGTGAGGACTTAACTGCTCAGAATTGTTCTTTCCTTTTCCATCAATTACACATTTTTTGGAAAGAGGACTGATTTAGGTTGATGCAGTAGGACTAGAGCTGGATTCCATACTTAGACATTAAATACAGCTGTATCACGTGAATCTGTTCAAATTATCTTATTTATTCATTAGAATATAATTGTGATTTCTAAGAGTTGATCTCTAAGAGCTATGGTGAATCCATGTTCTGTATGCCTACAATGTTCAACTACAGTAAAACAAACATAGGAACTGTTGTCCCTAGTTTGTTCCATGACCTACTCCATGGCCTTGCAGAATGAGAGGAACACTGACTAACAAGGCAGAAGGCCCTGCCTACTCAAGAAACACAAAATCAGTACCCAGAAAAGATTGTTTAGTCAGACCCTTCCCTTTCTCCCCAAGAAATGCACCGGAAACAGAGAGAAAAGCTGTTCATAGCAAAATTCATTCCTTCAAGAGTTCACTGTACTTGACCAAAAAAGGAAAAAGTAAAATAGCTTGTCTCGGTAAACGTACAGTCTAAAGGAGGAGTTCCAGCAGCATGTGAACACAGCCATAACATACTAGACAAGAGTGAAAATGAAACATAGAACTTTAAATATGGGATATAGCCCCAAAGCAACATTTTTACTAGGAAGCAGGAAAAATAGTATGAATACATTAATGTGAAAGTAGACCAAAGAGCCACATCAGCACTGGCAATATGATGCAACTTATTTGCCATCAAAACTGTCCTTCAGAACTCACATGCCTGATGATGTGAAAGGAGACAGAATTCTTCCCAGTGCCTTCGGTGGAGTTATAGCCATTAATCACCAAAGAAATATACAGTCATCTTTCTTTGTGCCGATCATTTTCAGACACAACTTGTGAACATCAAAATACAAAAATGCCAGTTTCCAATTCAAGACAATTACAATTATCTTAAGTTAAATACCAAAACCAATGGTAGTTATTTGGGCCATTGTATTATATATACTGTATTTTAAAAATATGAATGAAGGAAACCTTTATATAGGTAGAAATCCATAATATAGAGCTTTTCCTATTCTGTTCATCTCTGTGTTGTACACATTTGTCTTTTAAATTATATAGGAAAAAATGAATAAAACAAAATAAGATACCAGATTTCTAATCATCTATATGATCATGACCCATTGTTCTTTGTTTGCTATAGTTCCAAACTGGTGCCCAGTGCTGTTTCATTTCAGTCCAGATCACTTCCTACAGCATTTCCTGTAGATCAGTGTTGCTAATGGCAACCAGTGATAACACAATGGGATAGACAGCCCAATGAGAAAGGGAGCAGAGGATAGAAAATCCAGGTATCATAGAGTCCATCTCTCACTGGCCTTTGAACCCCAAGCTCCCATAAGTGAATTTATTTATTTAGTTCAGCACAGAGAAGGTTACTATAGGTATGTGCAGAAAACAAGGTTCAATCTATCTTGTGGTTACAGTCTTTGACATAAGACCTAATTTGTGTACAAAGTAATAACTCCCTATAGCTAGGGAGCAGTGAGAAGCAGTGACCATAACACATTCATCATATTCCCATTGCTTCAAGCATTATAGGGGCCAGTCTACTGTGACTTATACAACATCGGGTCCAGTTAGTTTTAACTTACACATTTTTCTTGCCTTGCCTGTTTTGACCTTTGCAAGGCCCAGTTGTCAACCTTCTGAGTACTGAGGAGGTAGCCTTCCAACCTCTAAAACCTTTCCTGGTCTCACAGCTCAGCTCTAGAGCTCCCTAGAGGTAAGGTTTATACATGATGAACTCTATATGCCTTGAATATCTTTAGATACTCCAGTTTTCTTTTTCTTTTTGACATTTTATAAGATATAGAGGCACTGGTTGAAATGTTTTGTTTTTGTTTGTTTTGTTTGCTACTTTCAGCCTTTTGCATATGTCATTCCAATGTGTTATGACATCCATGATGTCTGATAAAAATTGAAAGTCCATAGCATGTCACTTCTCTGTCATATTTTTCATCATTTTCAGCTTCTTCTTGTCTTCAACTGAAGGATTACAGTGTGTAATATAGACTTCTTAGTCATTATCCTTATGGCACATTTTGAGCTTCAAGGATATATACATTCAGTCTTCCACTGAATTGGGGAAGTTTTGGTCATTGATTCATTTATTCATTCTTTACTCTACCCTCTCCCTTCCCCTTCTAGGATTACTATTATCCCTATGTCTCCATATTTGATAATGTCTCAAATATCTCAGTCTCTACTTCTATTTCTTTCCTCTTTAAGCTGGATAATGTCAACTTACCTATCACCAGGTTTGAGGATTCTTTCTCTTGAATGTTTAAAATATGTTGCTGAATCACTCATGTGAAATTCTTTTGAGTAATTTCCCCTTCATGGCGATCTTACTGACTTAATAGAGTTCTGGGTTATATCATTTGCATTACTCTTTCAACAAACTTTTCACAATCAAAGCACCCAAGCTCTGTGCTTTAATTACAAGCCCCTTCTATTTCTATCAGTAGCAGAAATCTATAGTGGGATTGTGTATGGCCATTTATAGACTATCAAGATGTACAGTTAAAATACTGTTAATGGTGCCTGGCAGCACCATTAGCATACAACTAGTATCCTAGCTTCTCAGGAGACTGAGATCTGAAAATTGGAGTTCAAGGCTACCTTAAGTAGAAAGGTTGGTGACAAACTTATCTCCAATTAGCCACCAAACAAAATGTCAGAAGTGGAAGCTAGGTGCATGTGGCCTGTAATCCTAGCTACTAAGGAGTTTGAGATCTGATGATCGCAGTTTGAAGCCAGCCTGGGCAGAAAAGTCACTATGAGACTTTTATTTCCAATAAGCTATTCAAAAAAGCCAGAAGTGGCTCTGTGGCTCAAGTGGTAGAGTGCTAGCCTTGAGCACAAAGAGGCCCACTGACAGTGTCAAGGCCTGAGTTCACACCTTAAGACTGGCAAAAAAATGTCAGAAGTGGAGCTGTGGCTTAAGTAGTAGAGTTCTAGCCCTGTGGGAAACAAACAAACAACAAAAAACTCAGGGAAAGTGCCAGGCATTGAGTTTTACCCCATGGCTGTTCCACGCCACACAAACATAAACACATACACAAAGTACCATTTAGTTTTCATACCAGGATTTACTTACTTTTCTGTTTTCTTGGTGTTTTACAACTACTATAACAATTACATATTGTTTGGGTAGAGGAGATTAGTTACAGTTTAAATGTTTCCTGTCTTACTGAGGAGACTAGTTACAGTTTAAATGTTTTCTGTCTCACTAGGCTTAACTTCTGATGGGACTTTAGCTGGAGATGGAGTGTTTGTGGTTCTGAACTAATTGATGCTTTCATGTTACTTGCTTCCACAAGGTCTGGCTGGGCTGTGAAAAAGGCAAAATTCAGAGAAATCAGTAGCCTATCATTTCAAAGAATGAAATAGTAGAAAAAGGAATTTAATTCAAGGTAAGTTCAGATTCATCACATAAAGTAGTTGATATGTTATAAACACACTCTTTGGAGACACTGGTTATAAAAGGAAAAATCCCACCTTAAATTATTTTAAATCATTTAATTGTAACCCCTCTGTACACTAATTTTAAAATAAAAAGACATGAAATAAAAGCTGATGATAATTTCCAGAAAAAAATAAATGCAGAAACTTTCACTGTTTACCTTAAGGCCAGGCCTGGATCTGCAATGTGGCTCAGGT